GGGCACCCAGCCTAGGCACAAATCAGCACCCAGCCCTGGCACAAAGCACAGGGCACCCAGCCTGGCTTTCTCAGACAGTCTATGCTCTGCATGCCCTGGCAGTTTGCACATGTGCCCTTCACAGCCCATGATGTTGTCTGTGAAGACTTTAAATTTAGCAGCGTGGTATTGATGGGATACTTTAGCAGTGAAATCAGCCTGTCTTGCCCATGCTCAAAAAAAGAGGCCTTTTAAACAATATCAACTATGCATGTTGAACATATGCAGAAATATTCTTAGATTTAGAAGTGCCTGCTCTGTTGTGGAGTGAGCACCTGTTGTGGTGCTCATTCCCATGACGAGGGAAGAGATGAGAATCTTGACTCCATGTTTCAGAAGGCTGATTTATTATTTTATGATACATATTATATTAAAAGAAAATTATATAATAAAACTATACAAAAAGAATAGGATTTCATCAGAAGGCTGGCAAGGAATAGAAAGGAATGATAACAAAAGCTGGTGACACTCAGAGAGCCCGAGCCAGCTGACTGTGATTGGCCATTAATTAAAAACAACCAACATGGACCAATCAAAGATGCACCTGTTATATTCCACAGCAGCAGATAATTATTGGTTTTCTTTTCCTCTGAGGCTTCTCAGGAGAAAAATACTGACAAAGGGATTTTCAGATTTTTCATGCTGACAAGCACCTGCGAATTAGTTTGCTAATATTTAAGCACAAAATAAACAATGTCCTTTGCATTTTGTCCAAATTGCTTCTCCTTCTTAAAGATGGGTAAAAATATAAATTGGTATAATCAGGCTTATTGTTCTTCAAGAGAAGATACCTGGTATATCTTCTGGTGATATCTGGTATATCTGTCAGTTATTTGCATCCTGTAATAAAATATTTCATCTTTTAGTAATTGAATTGAAAACAGAAGATCGGAGCAAGTTTCTGGATGCACTCATTTCTCTCTTGTCTTAAAGGTAAGACACTGTAAGGATTACTTTAAAAATTATTATAAATCAAGTAACCTGCCACTATCTGTAGGGTATTTTTTTAAAATATGGCAACTTTTAGTGAAAATATAAATTGAAACTGAGAGTTTCTTACAAAGCCAACTGTTTTCCTTTGGAGGAGGAGGCAGACAATGTGAAAGCAAAATTTTTTAATCCTTAAGAGATTTATTTAAGTTTCATCATCCCTGAGCTTCTCTGTCATTGTTCCTAACTTTTTGTGCCTTTCTAACTCATGGTGAAAAAGGAGTTTGTGTTGTGAGAGAAATATTAGTTAATTGTAGCTGATCCTCTGTTACTGACCTTTAATTCTGATGGCTTCTTTGAGCTCAGCATGGAATTTTGGCCACAGCAGTGCCACTGGCTTTGATGTTAATGCAGAATTTGCATTTTAGGGTTGTAGCCTAGGCTGGTGTGCAGTTTCTACCTGGAGCAGAGATGGGGATGTAAGAATTTATTTGTGGTTGTCAAGTAGCTGCACACTGGTCCAAAGCAGCTTGTTAGACAGCAGAGGCATGCATGGCTCACAGGGTTTCTACATCCATTTGTTCCTTTCTTTACTCTCTGACTACTGATTGTTTTGTCTTCTGCTCTTGTTATGCAGTGGTGCCTTTTGGCTCCTTGTGCTGGAAGCTGAGGATGAGACCCTCTGAAATGGTTTTGGATGTTCCAAAGTTCATGGTGCTGCAGTTTTGGTGGGTCTTAGGTACTGGTGCAGGCCTGGACTGGTGTTTTAATGCCTTTTGGGAGGTCAAAAGGATTTTGATCTCAGCACAGAGATACTGAACACATCTTTGTCTAAACATCCTACCCTGCTAATGGCAAAGGCTGTCACCTGGTATTTGTACATTGGATTTCTATTTATCAAACCTGCTTTTATTAGTAGATGTACTCTTGTGATGTTCAGTTGTTGACTGATAACAAAAAATAGATTTTGAAATTCCATATTTATATTACTGTTCAATTGTACTTTTAAAATTGTCTTGAATGCTTTTTATTTTTTTAATCCAACTATTTGAAACTCTCCTTGAGGTTCTAGAATGCTGAAAATGTTTTTTAGTATTATCAGATTGAAGTCTTGTAGTTTAATTGAAAGACTTGTTTTGTGAGAGGAGTTTTTAGATTTCAGAGTTTTTAAAATCCAAATACTGAGCAACTGCCAAATACCAAATGAAAAATCCAGGGAATGCCAGCATCAATAAAGCCTTTTTAGTCATGCACTGTGATACTGTATTGTCACTTGTAGCTTGACTCTGGGAATAGTTTTCCTGGAAGGAGGCTGAAGCACTATGATAACTCTGTGAGTGTAGCACTGTAAATATTGACAGAGTAGCTTATCCTGTTCCATTGCAGATTTCATTTTACTTTGGTCATGAAATGGCTCCTTGGCCTCACCCTGCTGTGTAAATGTGTACATGTGGAATGCTCTTCTGCTTGAAGTGTTTGTCTGAATTCACTGTGACTTCGATGTTTTCATGTGTTGTAACAAATACATAGAGGTTATGTATCATTACATCATTCTTTGTACATATTTTAATACAGATTAATTTAATATTAAATGTGATTTAAATGTAGCCAACAGCAACCTAATTAAACTATCTATTTTTATTCAAAGAAGAAATTGGTTTGGGTTTTTAAGAGTTTTTTTATATGTTGTCACCTTATCTGAATAAAATCCCTGTGCCAAGCTGGGATGGCCAAAAAATTGTGCTTCCTAAGATAAAGCAAAGCTGCCTTTTGATTTTGAATGCTTACTAGGTAGTATTGACAATAAATTGTATTGCCCCTTAGCAGCTCATTTTGGGGTTTACAGCATACAGAAATTCTGTCACTTTTCTGAACTACCTTGCTGGGCTTTAGGTCTCTGGAAATGGAAACACAGAAGTTTCTGCTGTCCTTTGAACAAATAGTGCCAGGCCAATTAATATGTAAAAGGTACAAGTGTCTGTGACAGTGAAGTGCACTTCTAAATATTCTCACTTTATCTTTCAGCTGCAAACTGCTGGGTGAATTAAATTAGATAAATGTAGGAAATTAATTTATTTATCACAAAAGAATCACTGCCATTTCTGCAGTGTTAAATGACTAACTAGTTTAGCCCTATCATATATTTAAGACTTCTTTTACCAGGTGATTGTAGTGTTTTGAAAAATGGACAGATTTTCAGGCACAAGCACTCTTTAGCTTCAGCATGGTGTGTCATACTGGGAGGATGAGAAGTGGGAGCTAATTTTTATGTTGGGATGTGTTGGTGATTGCTTTCCTGCCAGGTTCTTCAACCAAACATGTGTAACATAAAACATAAACTTTCCTTGTCCTTCCTTTACTGGTTTTGTTGGTTGGTTTTTGCTGGTTTTTAAGGTTCAATTTTTCCCAAGATCTGCTGGAAATGCCCAAAATGCTTTTGCAAATTTTAGAATTGATCAGGTGTTGAACTGATTCCCAGGTCATCCAAATGTTGCCATAAATCAGTCTGGAGTGTGGAATGCTGTGTAAAAAGAAAGTTATTAAATCTACATGGACACCTGAAGGAGTTTCTGCCAATAGATAAAAATTTGCATGTCAGCATTTTACAATGTGGGCAATAGAATCCAAAGCTCCTTATGTAGTTTATTTAAGTCTACAGAATTTGTTGATTAATATGTTAATGCTACCTGGAGAATAATTGTGTGAGGAGATTGTGGAGCAGTTTCATTCAGCTGCAATAACTTTGTGGTTTGAGTGGCCCATTGAAATTTGTGTAGATTGGATAACATGGTCACTTGACATCTCTGCCTGAGGAGATAATTATGCTTTTGATTGATTATCCCAAACAAATTGTGGCTCTAATGACTGATTTTGAAATAGAGCACTGAGAAATCAACTTAGCCTCTGAAATGTACAGTCATATTCCACCTAGCCATGTCTGAATGCAAATAGAAACATTCCCTAAGGATTATATTGAAGCTGCAGTAACTCTTCCAGTGTTTGCTTGCTGTAATAGCAGCCTCCTAATCAGTTCTTTAAATATTTCTGCTGCTGCTAATCTGAGAACAATAGCAGTATAAAACAAATCCTTTAAAATGTTTTAGTTTTCCTTTAACAAAATAAAATGTTGAAAATCCTTAAATACCAAAGTACTGAAGCAGCTGAACAAGCTGATTTATGCCATTCCTGCTCAGTGATTCATGGCTGGGCTTTTTATGAGGTGATAGATTTAAACATAATTGAAATTGCACAGTAAAGATCTGATTTGATTTGAATTGAAGTGAATCCTCTTTTATGAAAGAATTCTGGTGACTTAATAGACTTGTACTTACCAGTGTCAAGGTTGCATAGTGGGTAAGAATTCTTACTTCCTTTCCTATTTCTCTTTAGGAGAAAAAAAAAAATAAAATTAATGAATGTTACAGCTTCCTTGTATGAAAAACCTACAGAGTCTGTGCCAGTTTGGCTGTGGCAGTGGCAGCCACAGGGGGAGGCCAGTGGGCTTTGCTCAGTTCTTGGCCTCCAATGTCAGAAGCAGGTGCTGGGGAAGGACAGAGAAACAAAGCTGCTGCATTTGGTGCTTCCTTCCAGACACAAAGTGCTGGCCCAGTCCTTGTGCCCAAGGCCATCCTGAGCCAGGTGTGGTTTCTGTGTTTGGTCACTGTCAGTGGTTACCTGGGATTCTGCATTCACTTCCTCCTGGGTCTTTGCAAAATTCCAGCCTGTGCAGTGTTTGTGGTGAGCAGATCTGCAGCACAGCTCAGTATTGTGTGAAAAACTGCTACTATAGCGAACAGTGTAATAGTGCTGGTTGCTCTTATTAATGGAAATTAAAATCCCTACAATGATTTCTAAGCAAATTATTTTGCAAATATTCATTATTTTTATTTGCTATTGTAAAACATTTTGTAATAAAGGACAGAAAAATATTCCTGGCTTGAATATTGGAAGATATTAGGGGATTATGCCTTTATCTACAGGAGTATGTGTGTTTATCATCAGACTTTTATGCTTTGGTACTTGGATGAAAATACAGTTGGTCCTACATCAAAAGGAGCTCTAGTTCATGAGCCACATCAAATTTAGCTGCAGTATTGGCTCTTTCTTCCCACTCTTCCCTGTGACTGCTCCCTTAGAGCCTTCTGCTCCTCTGTTATGGCAGAAGCAATAAATCAGAGGTATTTCAGAATCTGATGGTTTTAACTGCTCTATCAGCAATTTGAGTTTATATAAGTAGCAATCATCACTTGTAAACCTGATAGGATCTGAGGCAGCCATTGCAGCCTTAAAATGCTGAATGGTTTGCAGGAGAGCTGTTTGAGTGTTCAGTTAAATCCCATGTACTCTAGAGAACTCAGGCAGGAGAAGAACCTTAGAATTGTCATGTTTAACTGTCTTTATTGCTTCAGTTTCACTTTTTCCACTCCTGTTTTCAGGACAACATTTCCAGCGCTCACCTGTCCAGAAATACAAGAGAAATAAAACTTTACATCACTCCAATCACTAGTCTGGAGCATCCCAGTTGTAAAGTCCAGAAGAGGAAGTTTTAAAATCAGTCTCTTTTGTACAGCAGCTCTTTGAAGATGGTTTTGTTCTGTTGAATTGGCCTCTCAGGGTGGGCTGACTTGTAAAGAGGGGAGCAGTACAGAGCAGTATTTATCAAAAAGGAGATGTAGTAATCACAGGTGAGGAGGAATTAAAACATAAAACACCAGGACTGTTCTCACGGCAATAAACAGCATCATTTTTTGATTTTATGTGTACATCTGTCAATCAGTGGTTTTGATTCCCTTATAGAAGGAATATTCTTGAAAACATTCCTCTGAAATTTCCTTTGTGAGTAAGTCTGGCTTGAGGGAAAGAAAGCAGTGAAATGTTTGTTTCTTTAAACGGAAAAATTGAAATCCCTCTTGGCACTCATGTACCATTGTTGGCTTCAAGGTGGTACTAAAAGTTCCCTTGGAGCAGATTCAAGAGCTGAAAAATATGCTGCCCAGGGTGGAGCTCCAAAATGCCACCTTTATGTACAAGCATTTGGGTTATAAACACAGACTTAGCAGGAAATATTGCAGAACATTCACTAGGGAAAGAAAATTGTGGGAGCTTTTTATTTCAGACTGGATGCCATTCTTTTAAAGCATTTGAGTTTTGATTTTGGGCATTCAGAAGGTGGCAGAATTAGAGAAGAAACACAAAGGTCAAACATGTTGAAAATAGGCAAGAAATCCCTAATTTCATGGTACCCAAGCTGGTGCCATCCCTGGGTCAGACAGAGCAGAGAATGGGAGTTTCCAGTCACTGCTGCTGGGTGAGAGAATCATTTTGGCTTCTCTGCCCCCTCAAGGCATTTGTGGCTGTTGGTTCTTATCCTTGCAGGTGTTACCTTGACTTGCTGTCTGCTCCATGGTGTGCAAAATCTCAATATCCAGAGATAAAGACTTGCCTGGTAATTTGATATCACAACAAGCACTCAGCAGAGTTGCTGATGCACGCTATCCTCAATGAGCTGCAGGCTCACAAGTCATTCTGAAATCAGAATTAAGACCAGTCCTGATGGCAGTCCCTTTATGGGCAAACCTAATCATATCTTATGAACTAAACTAAGGTAAAATGTACATCCAAGCTCTATCACAGCATAGTTCCTTCCAGTGCTGGATCTCAGGTTATTTTATTAAGAGAACAGGGGATTTTTTTAATCCTTGGTTCAACAGCATCCTTCTCTGAAGTCTTTGCCACTTCCTTAAGGGCTGTAGGTGACTTCTCTGGGTATTCCTTCTGTTAATGACTAGGTTGCCCATGTTAGTCAAGCACCATGACATTCTGGGTCCTTTGTTTTCTTTTCAAAACCAGTTGTAATTTAGATTATTCCTTTCTGGTCCTTGCAAAAGAGATAATACTCCCTTCCAACAAAAGGATGCTGTCTTTTATAGCACTTAGAGTCACCTCTTATTGCTGCAGCTTGTCTGTTTGCAGCCCCTTTGGTGTTGGTGTCTCTTTCCACTGTTTGGCTCAGTGGAATTTACTTTCATTTAATCATTCATTTGCAGCATGTCAGTGGAAAATTGGAGATACCTGCCATTGAATTGGAAACAATTCACAGGGACAGTCAGCTCTTGGTATGTTTTTATTTGCTGAAAGGAGTCACCAAGGGGCTCTCAAAATAAATATGCCATTAATAATGATCTACTGTCTGATCTGAAAGTCTGACTGGATCAGTAGCCTAGAAGGAAGGGGCATGTAAAATGGTGTTTTCTTTAAAAATTGCTGTGGTCAGTGAAGTAATTCAGGACTCAAATAGCAAGAATACAGCATTCCCTGGATCAAGCATGGTCTGAGCTCTGAGATTACCTTCTTGGGCCTTGGCTAAGTTCCTCATCTGAGACCATGCTCTGACCAAAATGTCCCAAATCCTATGTACAGGATGACATTCATCTTTTAAGAAATTAGCATTATAAATTTTTTTCCTGAGGCTGCTGTGCTTCCTTCAGGGAAGTTTCTTTTAACTGGAAAGGGCTTTGCTACATTGTATGGAAGCTGTTAAAATTAATAAATAAAATTTTTTTTAAAAAAGTTCTCTCCAAACAGTTCTGGGCTTTTCCAGTGGTAACT